CATTCCTTTTAGCTCGTCTAATGTCATTTTTTAATTCAGCCTGTAGATTTAGATACTCTTGCTTTATTATGTCATCATCAGTTATTTTCCATCTCTGGAACAAAGCCCTTTTCCTCCTCCTTACTTTATACTTTATGTCCCTATTAAACCACCTAGGTTGCAATTTCCTAGATTTATTCTTGCTAGAAACAGGTATGAAGTCCTCTTGTACTTGCAATAATTTGCTTTTAAAAAATTCCCATGCCTCTTCAACAGTTTTGTTATTTAACAAATCTTTGAAGATTTGTTGTTAGTTTTGTTGTTTACGTTTATGCTCCAAGCGGCAGTTCAGAATACCCACCCTTTTTGGAATCCTTGGAAGGGGTGTTGGAGAGCACTCCTCCTGGGGACTCTCTTGTTCTGCTGGGGGACAATGCTCACGTGGGCAATGACAGTGAGACCTGGAGTGGCGTGATTGGGAGGAACGGCCCCCCCGATCTGAACCCGAGTGGTGCTTTGTTGTTGGACATCTGTGCTCGTCACGGATTGTCCATAACGAACACCATGTTCAGGCATAAGGGTGTCCATATGTGCACTTGGCATAGGCCGCAGTTCGATGATCGACTTTGTAGTCGTGTCATAGGACTTGCGGCCGCATGTCTTGGACATTCGGGTGAAGAGAGGGGCGGAGCAGTCAATTGATCAATACCTGGTGGTGGGTTGGCTCCGCTGGTGGGGGAGGAAGCTGGCCAGGCCTGGCAGGCCCAAGCATATAGTGAGGGTCTGCTGGGAATGTCTGGCGGAATCCCCTGTCAGGAGGAGTTTCAACTCCTACCTCCGGCAGAACTTCTCCCATGTCCCGGGGGAGGCGGGGGACATTGAATCCGAATGGGCCATGTTCTGCGCCTCCATTGTGGAGGTGGCTGACCGGAGCTGTGGCCGTAAGGTGGTCGGTGCCTGTCGCGACGGCAATCCCCGAACCCGCTGGTGGACATCAGTGGTGAGGGATGCCATCAAGCTGAAGAAGGAGTCCTATCGGGCCTTTTTAGCCTGTGGGACTCCAGAGGCAGCTGACAGGTACCAGCAGGCCAAGGGGGATGCAGCTTCGACGGTTGCTGAGGCAAAAACTCGGGTTTAGGAGGAGTTTAGCGAGGCCATGGAAAACGATTTCCAGACGGCTTCGAATTGATTCTGGTCCACTAGCTGGCGGCCCCGGGCAGGAAAGCGGTGCAACATCAACACTGTTTATGGTGGGGATGGGGTGCTGCTGACCTCAACTCGGGACGTTTTGGGTCGGTGGAGGGAGTACTTTGAAGACCTCAATCCCACTGACACGCCTTCCAATGTGGAAGCAGAGTATGGGGACTTGGGTGTGGACTCCCCTATCTCTGGGGCGGAGGTCGCTGAGATGGTTAAAAAGCTCCTCAGTGGCCGGGCCCTGGGGGTGGATGAGATCCGCCCGGAGTTCCTTAAGGCTCTGGATGCTGTGAGACTGTCCTGGTTGACACGCATCTGCAGCATCGCGTGGACATCGGGGGCAGTGCCTCTGGACTGGCAGACCGGGGTGGTGGTCCCCCTCTTTAAGAAGGGGGACCAGAGGGTGTGCTCCAACTATAGGGGGATCACACTCCACAGCCTCCCTGGTAAGGTCTATTCGGGGGTTCTGGAGAGGGAGGGTCCACCGGATTGTCGAACCTCGGATTCAGGAGGAGCAGTGTGGTTTTTCCCCAGGCCGTGGAACAGTGGACCAGCTCTATACTCTCCGCAGGGTTTTGGAGGGTTCATGGGAGTTTGCCCAACCAGTCTACATGTGTTTTGTGGACTTGGAGAAGGCATTCGACCGTGTCCCTCGGGGAGTCCTGTGGGTAGAGCTCTGGGAGTATGGGGTGCCGGGCTTCCTTTTAAGGGCTGTTCAGTCCCTGTATGACCGGTGCCAGAGCCTGTTCCGCATGGGCGGCAATAAGTCAGACTTGTTTCCAGTGAGGGTTGGACTCCGTCAGGGTTGCCCTTTGTCACCGATTCTGTTCATAGTTTTTATGGACAGAATTTCTAGGCGCATGCAGGGTGTTGAGGGTGTCCGGTATGGTGATCTCAGGATTAGGTCTCTGCTTTTTGCAGATGATGTGGTTCTGTTGGCCTCATCGGACTGTGACCTTCAGCTCTCACTGGGACAGTTCGCAGCCGAGTGTGAAGCGGCTGGGATGAGAATCAGCACCTCCAAATCCGAGACCATGGTCCTCAGCCAAAAAAGGGTAGAATGCTCTCTCCGGGTCGGGGATGGAGTCCTCCCCAAAGTGCAGGAGTTTAAGTATCTCGGGGTCTTGTTCACGAGTGAGGGGACAATGGAATGGGAGATCGACAGGCGGATCAGGGCGGCGTCCGCAGTGAAGAAAGAGCTGAGCCAAAAGGCAAAGCTCTCGATTTACCAGTCAATCTATGTCCCTACCTTCACCTATGTTCACGAGCTGTGGGTGTCACACACAAGATCCTAAAGAACGAGATCGCAAGTGCAAGCGGCCGAAATGAGTTTCCTTCGCAGGGTGGCTGAGCTCTCCCTTAGAGATAGGGTAAGGAGCTTGGTTATTCGGGAGGGACTCAGAGTAGAGCCGCTGCTCCTCCGCATTGAGAGGAGCCAGATGAGGTGGCTCGGGCATCTGATTAGGATGCCTCCTGGATGCCTCCCTGGTGAGGTGTTCTGGGCATGTCCCACTGGGAGGAGGCCCCGGGGAAGACCCAAAACATGCTGGAGGGATTATGTCTCTCAGCCGGCCTGGGAATGCCTTGGGATTCCCCCAGAGGAGCTGGATGAAGTGGCCAGGGAGAGGGAAGTCTGGGTTTCCCTGCTGAGACTGCTGCCCCCGTGACCCAACCTCAGATTCAGTGGGAGATAATGGATGTATGGATGGATGTTAAACAGGTTAAAAACATTGCTCTCTAGATATGTTTTTAAAGTTTTCAGCACCAAAAACCAAACCAAAGCTAAATTCATATAATAAAGTTAGTGGTTGGCGGTTATTGTTAGATTATGCAATTTTTTTAGTGATTTAATGGTTTAGCTTTATCAAATTAAGTTAGCAGACTAGCAGTTATCAAAGCAAAATTTTTGGTTAGCTCTGCCCAACACTGAATGTCACTCATCTAATCAGGGCTAAATGCTCACCTGTGGTAAGCTGTGGATGGTTTTGTGGAAAGAGTGGTGTTTGTGATTGTTGTCCAATCTGTTGTCTGCTTATGGGTGGGCAGGCTTCATGAGTGATTGTGACACATGGATGCTTTAGGGAGACAGTCTAGGGAAAGTATTTCTTATTTTTTCAATCATTGTGATTTTGAGATTATGCCTCCATATGTAGACCATGTTAAACATGAAATATTGGCAATTCAAGCTTCCTGTATATAAACAATATGTAAATGATTTATAAAGAATGCATTTTCTGTCTGTTGGGTCCTTGTCACATAATGTAGACCACAGTGATCAGTATTGACTGTCCAAGTCCTGGAGATGTTCCTCCCATTGTTGGGGTGAATTGTTTACACATTGAGCAGCACAATTTACACAAATAGCCATTAAGTCTTTGACACAGATGCAGTCATGAGACAGCCGTGAAAAGTACCGGGCTGAGAGATCAAAGTGTGTCGTTCATTCTTTCTCCAGACAAAAGGTCACCAGTCTTTGAAAACATCACCCAGAATAAGTCACAGATGCCAAAACCATCCCTCACCTTCAGACATTTTTGTCTTTTTTTGTCCTTGTTCATAACAGGTCCGAGAGAATGCCAAGCAGGACCTGAAGGATGGGCTTGCTCTGTACAACACTGATAATAATGTTGGTCTGAGGAATGCCTGGAACATCATTCAGGCAGAGGTATGGGCTTCCAGCCAACGCTGATGTCTTCATTTGCTGGATTCATGTGTACATGACAGCAAATTTGAAACCGCTAGATCCTAAATATGATCAAATGACAGAACATGAATTCTGAGAGAGCCAAAATGATCAATCAGTATGGCTGGTCTAAGATCTAATGGTCAAGAGTGCTCAGGATAAGCACTGAACGAATGTGTTTATCTTTACATGCCTGTGTGTATAGTGGAAGTGCTGTGGTGTGACGGGCTACACAGACTGGCATGAGGCCCTGCAGGAGAGGATGGTCCCTGACCGCTGCTGCCAGGAGCACTACAAGGAGTGTGGCCGGAATGTCACCAACATGTTCTGGAACCGAGTGAGTGTCACTATAGTAACAGGTGTGACTGATTATCTCGTTCTCCTGTTCATCCTTTGTATGGATTGGAACCATCTGAGCAAAATTTTTTACACTTTTAATTTTAGTAAGTTTGTTTTCTAGTCCCGCTGTGGCTTTTTTATGTGTAAAGAGGTGAATGTTTCTAAATGTAACAAACATACGTTTTGGTACATGAAGGTTTATTGTTTATTTTTCAAGGCTTGGCACATAATAAACTAATTCCTCAACATTCTTAGGGCTTTGCAATGAAATATTTTACAGATTAGGCCTCTTTCTCTATTGTACATACTGTCCTGACTCCTGCAGTGTAGAATGTAGCACATTTTCTAAGATTTTCCTGTGATAAAGATCCTAAATTAAGCGTTTAATGGCTCAACTGTAGCCTTTCTACACATGCACACTTGAGTCGTGTTTTCCATCCTCCACAGGGTTGTTACGAGAAGGTGGAGGAATGGCTACGTGACAACAGACACCTCCTGGGCACCATTGGCATGTGCATACTGGTAGTACAGGTGAGCAGAGATGGCTAGAAATGGCCACCAACTCTTTATGCCAAATGAGCTGAATCAGCAAAAAAAGCTTGCAAAGAGCACTTGCTGAAAATTGCATTCTGTGCTAGCTTTTTGTTTATACCCAAGCTTTATTCTTTGTTTAGGACTGACTTTTGTGGGCATTGTAGTTAAATGCAAGACATTAAGCACAAGTAACGATGCATGCCAAAGCATTGTCATTGGTCACAAGTGTATTATTCACTACAGAACAACGATGCATGTAGGTGGCACAGCTGGGATTGGGGGCAAGGCTTTTATGAATGATGGGGTCATTTTTGCATCAGGAAGACCTTCAGGGGGTGTCTGAGGAGCCATCACTGCTTCATACAGAAGGAAATCACTATGGAGCAGTGAAGAGTGCCTTCCAGAGAGTGGATGACTGGCTTTCTCACTCACTACATTTACATGAACACTAAGATAATCTAATTATTGTGTTAGCCACACTAAACCGGACTTTTAAATTACATGTAAACATATTAGTAAATCATACTAAATAGAATTTCTCTTAGTCGGCCTAAGACACCCAGATAATGCGATCGGGATTTGATTGACTCTTGCATGAGTACGTTCAATCGGACTCAAACTGGCCTAGGCGCTTTGCTCTGCAGTCCCCCTCGGGCTTTGACCCGGAAGGAATAGAAGAAGCATGGGGCATAGCAGAAAAAGTACATGTAAACATACTGACTTTGTTAGTCATGCTTTGGTTTGGGCCTGGAGCAGTAGGATGATCAGCCCTGGGGGTTTTTAACCAGACTATGTGTGACTTGTGGGATTGGGTGTTTTAATGTTTGTCTCTGGCTACGTCCACACTAATGCGTTAAAAAAACGCATTACGTGAGTTTCCAAAAGAAAACATCAGTGTCCGCACTACCATTATCACTAGCGTTGAAAAAAAAATTCACACTGCTCTGTGTAAAAGTCAAATCGTGTAGTGACTACACCAATAATTAGCTTTAGCATTTGTGTAATGGTATATATTGTGTATAAGAGTGGTTGTTATTGTATATATTTTCTGTAATTTTTCATGTGCACATTTATCCAAAGCTTTTTTGTGATACATTTTTTGAAGGGTTGCACTTTGTTTTGTTTGTTGTAGCTTGAGCATAACATGTCATTTGCATGTTTTTTGTCCAACCAATTTTTAAAAAATAATTCTAGCAGTGGCGACATACAGTGGAGGAAATAATTATTTGACCCCTCGCTGTGTTTAAAGTAAAAGTAACTATCACAGCAACAGCACAGGGATCCAGATATTTAGTTACACACATCCCTCTCTCTTCCCATCATTTTCAGTGCACTCTTGTCTTACTGTAATGTTCGATGGCTGAATGTCTTTATGATAAGTTATCGCTGCACTTAAACTTGGCTCAAGTGCAGTCTTGTTTTGAGCTTCGCAATAGTTGTAAACAGCATACAATGTACACAAAACATGATTTAGCTGCATACAAATAAGCAAAACAACATATACCAGGTAGCAAAAGTCCTGTACATCCTCCATGTTCACATGTGGCTTAATTCCTTGAAAATAAAGGCAAAGCATTCTTCATTCCCCTGAAAAATAACTAATTAAGGAGGACTAGGAAAAGAGACATCGAAACAAAGAGAGCTAATCAGGAAAGGGCCACGAACCAATCAGAGGTCACTGATGTAGGCGTAACAAAATTGTAACGTTTTTGAGCATTAACACTAATGCATTTACAGAAGGATTTACTTTTTTACAGGGAAAAAAAGATCTGCATCATCTACAGAGCCCCTGAAGGGACCTGTGCACGACTTTCGCATATGCACAGGATACTTTCCATGCATACAAGAAATTTTTTTTTGCATCCTTTGCATCCCTTCAAGGACTCCATAGATGGATGATCAGAAAAAATGTTTGCGTTATTAAATGAAAACGTATTACTGCGGACGTACCCTCTGTATGTTTTTGTGTTTTGTGGGGCTGAGGGTGTGTGTGTCTGGATTATGTTTACATTACATTGTGGGGATCAAATGTTCCCCACAAAGTAGTAAAAACCTGGTATTTCGACATTGCGGGGACCATTTTTCAAGTCCCAACAAAGATCTGTGAATGCAATCAAGGGGGTGGAGGTTATATATGTGTGTGTTTTAGAACACAGGGGGTTTACAGGCATATGTTTCTGTGCTTTAGGGAGTTGAGGGTGTGTGTGTGTGTGTGTGTGTGTGTAGAGCATGAGGAGCTCACGTGTCTATGAGCGTTTGTGCCTCTTCAGTACAGGGGGGTGTTGGTTATATGTGCAGGAATTGCCACATCCCCCTCCCAGCCTGCCAGCTGTGACACACTCCTTCACTGTCTGCTGCTGCCATATCTGTTGGGAGCACATGGGCCCTCCCTAATGAAAGTGGGTGTATCCCAGCCTGGCTGCCCTTGATAAAGGCACTGCTACCTGACTCTGTGTGATGCCACACTGTCCTGTTCACGTCAGATTTCAGCTTATTAAAATCTCAAAGAGCTTTTTAGAGACTGCAAGAATTTGGTTGCCTCTCTTTTATCACACAATTATTAATTTATCATGTTGAATTTCCCTCCAAAAAAATCTGCTAGTCTAATTCACATTCGTGTGAAGAGTGCTATGATTACAGAAGCGCATTTTCCAAGCATTCACGGTGCCTATGTTGATTATGAATTGCATATAACATGATTTACAGATGCTTTGGAATATCCTTCATATTTTTTGCACAAAACTAATACAGCTGTCTGTGTGACTTACAGCTGTACACAGTCATAACTGTTATACATAACACTGACGTGTTTTATAAACAAGGGCACACACACATTACACTGAATATGTGTCATAAACAGGTACATGCAATCACTAGCACGTTCCACATGCGCGTTCCCAGGACTGCAAATTCATGCTTGGATCTGTCCCAGTGCACACACCTGAATGCTAAAACTTCCTGTTTCTCCAGCTCCTGGGGATGGCGTTTTCCATGACGCTGTTCCAGCAGATCCACCGGACAGGCAAGAAGTACCACGCCTAGATGGGCCTGGTAGAGCTAAGCCCTTGAGCCCGATGTGGGGGGACTGCGCTGGACTCCATGACCTGGCCTATCCTGTCTCAGGCCAAGCACCTATCAACAGTGCTCCCCCCCTTTATTTGCTGTTCTCAATTTAATTTGCCAAAGAAAAATCGGTCAGGAAAGATGAAGGGCATTGACTTTGGGGAAGGGGCACTTCTTGGCAATTTTTTATTGTGTTTTGTCTTTTTCTTTCCCCTTGGACTGACACTGTGGGAAGCTGGAGATATGAAAGCACTGCTTTTCTGAAGGCCAGGTTTGCCCCACAGGGCACAAGAAATCAATACAGAGGCAGCTCTCATACTGTAACCCCATATGAGGTGAAAGGATTCAATTACCCATGACTGCTGATGGCAGCTCCCACTCTTAGTATAAAGGCAGAACCTAAATATAGCATGCTGAAGTATATATATATTTTTTGACTCAGTGGATAACTGTCTTGTTTAAATATAAAAACATACCCCACACACAACTGTGATTTGTTAAAATCCATGAGAGCATATTGATACCTTGTTGAGGATCGGTGCATGTGATTGGTGGTCATGAGCTGTGGAAAGGGGGACGGCCCTAACATAACCCCCATGTAGGGGAGACAGGGGGCAAGCTCTGAGTTGGGTGCTACCCCTCCAGGTACACACCCACACAATGGCAGCCTGCAGCTTCATTCATCAAAGCTGGTGAAGCAGTTTCAATGGGTGTCTGAGTATGATACATCTGACTATGTGTTGTTCTGTTTGGTGTGTGACATTTTCAGCACAGCAGGGACACCTCCACACATTTTTACTCCTCTTTGATTCTGCTTTGGGTCCCATAAGATTGACTCTTTGCGACAACGGGTGTCTTGTGTTTCTGGTTTGTAGACACCCACTTGGTTCTGTTGTCGCTGTTTGTTGTGCAGGAGTAGTCATTCTGATTGTCTCTCATTGTTTCTGTTTTGACGCTCTGGGTTTTCCAACTGATGCAGCAGAAAGGAAATCTAATGTCTGATAGTCCATATTTCCATCAGCATCTCCAAATGGGATCCTTCCTGCCTGGTGCAGGTTCTCCTCAGCTACACGTGAGGCTCAGTGCAAGGTGCCTGATAGAGGGGGTATCAGTCCTCTTCACACATCAACCTAATGGTGCTTCTGTCCATAGAGCTTTGGTCCCATAGTCATTTAGAAATATCATCTTACATAAGATGTAAAGGCACTTTGGTTAACAAGTGTTAAACAACTGAAATACTCCATCTTTAAGAGATTTCTGACCTGTGAGGTGAGAGGGCTGGGGCTGGCAGGATTTTAGGGTGATGTTTAGGGCTGGAATAATACCAGAAGCAGATATGAGATCTATTGCATGTTGAATGGCATTTTGAGGTAAGGAGACTCTGTGTATTCCAAAATGTGTAACTGAACATCATGTAAAAGCATCGCATATATATATATATACACACACACACATACGCACACACGCAGTAGGTGCATGTATACAGTAACTATATATGTATGTGTGTGTATGTATATATATATATATATGTATGTATGTGTATGTATATATACACTCACCTAAAGGATTATTAGGAACACCATACTAATACGGTGTTTGACCCCCTTTCGCCTTCAGAACTGCCTTAATTCTACGTGGCATTGATTCAACAAGGTGCTGAAAGCATTCTTTAGAAATGTTGGCCCATATTGATAGGATAGCATCTTTCAGTTGATTGAGATTTGTGGGATGCACATCCAGGGCACGAAGCTCCCGTTCCACCACATCCCAAAGATGCTCTATTGGGTTGAGATCTGGTGACTGTGGCGGCCATTGTAGTACAGTGAACTCATTGTCATGTTCAAGAAACCAATTTGAAATGATTCGAGCTTTGTGGCATTATCCTGCTGGAAGTAGCCATCAGAGGATGGGTACATGGTGGTCATAAATTCAATTCAATTTTTCAATTCAATTTTATTTATATAGCGCATTATCACAACATTACATTGTCTACATTGTTTCTGCCTCGTAAGGACCCCCCATTGAGTAAGCCAAAGGCAACGGTGGCAAGGAAAAACTCCCTAAGAGGAAGAAACATTGACATTGTGAGGGGTGGTCTGCACTTCCTGCATCTGAAGGTTGCCCTTTCCCACAGTAGACAATGGTTGTGTTTTGAATTGGCAGTCTGGAAAGAGACATGTCATTATTTATGTGGACGAAAAACAGGTGCAACATCAAAAAAAAAAGTTTTAACATTATCTCTGTGAACAGATTTAATTTAAAGTAGTTCTTCATTTTAATTTGTGTGCAAAATTGTTCACTTTAAACCATTGAAACTGTAATATAAAAAATAAGAAGAATCTAATATCGAATTCGTTAGGCAACATTTTTATATATTATATAAAACCATGCATTTCGTATAACAGTTGCTGATGGATTGATTTGTTTTGTCTCTGGGGAGATTCTTTTTTTTGTTTTAATTCACTAGGCTGAACACTGGTATTAAGCAGGTTGGCTGTGATACCCACAAAGTAACCCATAAGTCTTAAATTGCGCAAATATTTTAATAATGGAGTAAATATGAAGTTCTGAGTGTGAATAGAACGGCAATTTGGAAGGTGACCCTCTGTGGATTTGTCTCTACATGACTTTGACCTTTGGCTCTCCCTCACAAACTTGGCTGAATCTTTATGATTGTGCCACTTCTCTTAAAGCTTGTAAGGAGATCCATCACCATGTTGGAAATTTCACCCTATCCTGCTGCAGATAATCTTTGGTCCTATAAAATGCTCTGACATTTAGTAACTGACATGTTGTCAGACTTGTCCAAACAGTCCTCCACTGTTAATCTACCGGCTTGTACAGGGCAGAAGGCATTCTCCACTGCTCTGCTCTGTCCCACCAGAGGAGTGCTATGCTGTCTTTGTTATACGGTCTCATGTTTCATAACCTTCACTGGATTTTTTGTACTTTTTAATTCAGTGATTGTCACATCTATTAAATGCTTGGTGATTTCATTTAATGTGTACTTCATATTATAGTGAAATGGAATATTTTATAAATTTGTGTTTGAAACAGATTAGATTTTGTCCTATATGGTGTTATACAACCTTGTGAGAGGCTATGTGTGTGTGTGTGTGTGTGTGTGTATGTATGTATGTGTGTGTGTGTGTCTCCCAGTGCTTTTCGATTGCTATTCAACCTGGGCCGGGGGATGTAGTGCTACAAGAGTCTGCGTCCCATTTTACTAAGGTCTGAACATAAGACCATCTTATTTTACTTAATCTGGTTTAAATCTTCATCTATTTCTTAATTTAACTAAATCCCGACCTCACAGAGCACTGTGTGTTCACTGTCATTCCCTTAATGTTTTTTTTTAATATTAATCCGTTGTTCACTATGTTAGCTGTTGCCTTTGGTGAATTGTTTCATTTGGATTGAAACGATTATCTGCCTAGTGACATATTACGTAAGTATAACTGGATTTTGGTGGATTCGCTCTTGTGGCAGCTGCTTTGTGATCTCCTCCAGCAGGGGGTAGGATTTCAGCTCTAACACACATTGAAATGTTTAACAGAAATGCAAAATTTCAGTCACTGTGATTTTTAATGGAAGACTATGATATGTTCCCTTGTGTTATAACCTGATTTGAATTTGTACTGTTGAAGCTTTCCACCCCCCTTCAATGCAAAAAAAAAAAATACATTAGACTTTGTATAGACTACTTTGTACCATTTAACATTAAATAAAATAAAATTAAATAAAACCCATAGAAACCACAGTGAAGTAGAGATTTTTTTTCCTTTTTAAAGCTATATTGTGAACTGAGTTATGGATGACTGCTTCAGAAGACAGGTGGGTTACCAGCTCTGATCCAGCTACACATGGTCTGCAAAACATCCCCCAGGGGAGAGTCTCACTTTACTGTCTTAAGGAACATGCTGAAATAATTTATAAGACATATAAAAAAAGATTAGTAAATATTATAAGAACAAGTAAGAAAGAATATTACCACACATTATTGGAGCAAAATAGAGGTAACACACAAGAAACATGGAGATTATTAAATAGTATAATTAGAAAAGGCTCAAGAAATACGAATTATCCAGACTACTTTAAAAAGGATAAAGATATTGTGTTTGATAAAATTAAAGATATTGTAAATTAATTTAATGATTTTTTTGTAAATATTGGTAGTAAATTAGCAAAAGAAATTCCGGAGTCAAGAAATAACAATGCTCTAAGTAAACAAATTATTCCGAATGTGTCCTCCTTGTTTATTGGTGCTGTAACTCATAGAGAAATAATTAACATTGTGAAAACATTTAAAAATAAAAAGTCCACTGACTGTTTTGGTATTGATATGATATTAGTTAAAAGTATTATAGAATATATAGTGCAACCTTTTACATATATTTGTAATTTGTCTTTTCAAACTGGTATGTTTCCCTCAAAAATGAAAATAGCAAAAGTTATTCCAATTTATAAAAAGGGAGAGAGATGTCAATTCACCAATTACAGGCCAATATCACTACTCCCACAGTTCTCAAAAATTCTAGAAAAGTTATTTGTTAATAGACTTGATAAATATATTGAGAAGTATAATCTTCTAAGTGATACCCAATATGGCTTTAGAGCGAAGAGGTCCACTTCAATGGCAGTTATGGAACTTGTAGAAGGGATATCGAATGCAATAGATAATAAGGAATATACTGTAGGTGTTTTTATAGACTTAAAAAAGGCATTTGATACAATCGATCATTCTATATTAATGAATAAACTACAGAAATATGGTATAAGAGGGATAGTTTACAAGTGGATGCAAAGTTACCTGGATGATAGATATCAATATGTCGAAATTAATAATGTAAAATCTATTCAGATGAAGGGAAATTGTGGTGTTCCTCAGGGCTCTGTGTTGGGCCCTAAGTTATTCATACAGTATTATATATAAATGATACAGTATATGTAGTGTTTCCAATTTGTTAAAATGTGTATTGTTTGCTGATGATACTACTCTGTATTGTTCAGGTAAAAACCTAAAACAGCTTCTGACTACGGTGGAAAAGGA